CTAGGATATGAAGATCAAGATGATGTGGCCTTTTATTTCGTATCTTTAATCAGCAGGAAGAGAGATCGCCAAAAAGAGAGGCAGGAAAAACAAATGGAAATTAAGAAAAGGAGATTGCAATTAAAGGAATGAAACCTGAAATCAACCTGGAAAGTTATTGAGGTGGGTAAACCTGAAGGATAGGAGATATAAGGCAAGAAAGATACAAATTGTACACCATTAGATGCGCTAAGCTAAAGATCTAGATCCATTTCAAATTCATCAGGATGTGGAAACCGAGCTGGGGAGCACGATATCAGTTAATGCCTAATGTATATGCGCTTGTGCGTATTTTTCGTGTGTGTGTGAGGTGACTGATTACATATCTGGATAAGGAGGTTACTAACCAACATACACATGCGCAACTGACTAGAACCTTAGGATTAGATGGGAGTGTCAACTTGAGAAACAAGAAGTGTGCTCTTCCCGTGATTCAAGAGTGAAGAAGGAAAGTAGACCATCTTCATACCAACGGTCCCGAATCAAGCCAGACACATTGCTTAAGAGAATGAGAGAATGAAGTGGGGATGAGAAAAAGAATAACTGGGGCTTGTCTCTGAAGCCTAGGAAGAAGCTGCCTGGGCATAAGACTCACCTATCGTTAAATCCTCAAATATGGCGTAAATGAGGATGAAGGCTAATAAACAGCCAGGTTGAGCAAGGAACAACTGACAAACGGGATTTAGGGGGGATCTATTTCGAAGGTGATTATGCTTCACCAAATCGACTTGAAGCGACATTGGATGAAGCGAGAACACAGAATTGCGTGGATAGGTAAATGGTCGATATGAAATGGGGTTGAGAGAAAGAGATATAGCACTAGAAGGTAAGACAAAGAATAGGGGCGAGGAGTGATGCCACAACGGTTGAAGAGAAAATTGGTCAATGGGAATGCCTTCACTTGTCATATTTATAAATTATAACTCTGTGCGAAGGATGGTACCTCTAATTGAGGATGTCAATGAAATGTCTGGGAATGCACCTAGTTAACGTTTCGGTGCCGGAAATCATCATGAGGTATGATCGCTCTCTGTCGCTCAAACCAAATTGTGAAAATGAGGTCAAACCAACATCTATATATAAGGCTTCCATGCTCTTTCTTTTTGTGGCAGATATATATTAAGCTTGGCGAAGCCAGAATTTGAGGATCATCCATATGTCAGAAGTTGTTTGGCCCTGTTTTTCAAACTTGAACATATTGGTAGGGAGACCTAAATGAACGCATCCTGTCCGGAGTCCATAGCATGCATGATAATTTTCAGAGTCGGAACGTGGACTTGGTACATTCCCAGACGTTTCACCGGCATCGTAGTCAGCATCGCCAATGAGCCTTGCCAGTATTAGCACCATACTACAACTCGTCAAAGTAAAAATTGATGTCAATCTTTTGACCAAATGTCTGCTAAACAGTTGCGGTATTTCTCGTGTCCTGGGGTATTCATCTATCCTATATCCTCGTATCACTCATTCGATATCGCATTTTTCATACTTGTTTATCTAAACTTAGTTGAGGCCTATTCACACTCCTCGCTGGTTCCAATATCCCCTCTCAACTGTGTTTGGAGTATTGATCCAATGCTGCTGTTTAGCCCGGAATCCTCTTCCTTCAGGACCTATCAGATTCTCCCTCTTGTTCCGTAAGGCCACACCATCTTGGTATTCCTACCTTCGATTAAAGAATATAGGATAGGTGAATACCTCAGGAGAGAAGGATAGATAACACAACTTTTAAGAAGACAATTGATCAAAAGATTAACATCAATTCTCTCTTTGAGTTGTAGTGTGCTGTTAATAATGGCAAGGCTCACTGACGATGCTTGCAAAATGCCCGGGAATGTACCAAGTCCAGAGCCCGACTCTGTAATTTATCATGCATCCCATGGATTCTGGACAAGATGGGTTCCTCTAGGTCTTTTAGCCAATATGAACAAGTTGCGAAAATAAGGCCAAACAACTATACAACGAAATGAGACCCCGACCATGCAAAAAGTCACACCATCTTGTTCTTTATACTTTCATCCATATTATCTTTGTTTTTTTCGTATCATCCTTCATCTAGAATTATACGTCTGACAATTCATAAAGTAATAATGAAAAAACTTGCTGAATTTTGACTAAATATAAAAATGGCCTCAATACATAATTTAATGATCCCGAATCGTCTTAACTACACGCGCAAACTCTTGGCTTCCATATGGCTCATTATGATAGTTATAATTTTAAATTGAAAATGAAACTAACCGGTGCATAGTTGGAAAAAATCAAGGATGAATTTACACTCAGCATGTTGTGTGTAAATGGATGAAAGGTTCGTAGTGTCATGACAAGTTATTTGACTTACGTGGTATATTCAAAGATGGCTCGCATTTGAAGATCGCGCTTCCGCTCAAGAACACGACAGTCCCAGGCCATTATTGAATAACCCCAGCCAAGTAAAAGGTGGGCCCGAGCATGCAGGTACTTTTGTTTTTGACTTTTTGCGACCTTTAACAAGGGATTATACAGGAATAATGGAAGTTGAACAAGAACATGAGCAAATAGGCAAGTAAGTATATAAAGGGTTGTTTAAGCAGATTAATTGGTACATACGAAGAAAAATATACAGAATAATTAGGTTGGTAATGCTATGAGAAAGTATGAGTGGTGCAGGCTGGAATAGTGGATAATTTAAAAGGAAAAAACAGAGGAAAGGAATAGACGAGTAAAAATTAGCACAACTGGTCTAGAGTATTTGCTAGATAAATAAATTACAAAACTGTAGCAGAATGGTGACATAAGGTAATTTATTAGATTCGATTTAGATAAGTGGAAATTGAAATCGCTGATCCACTATCGATGAATTAACGGATGATACCCAAATGAATGTGCTGAAATGGAGACCTTTGTAAGAAATTGCATCACATCATAATAGGCGAACTTCAGATAAATCACAAACACTTCATGTAGAACTAGCTAATCCACCCAAACTCTTTCGAAATATTGGCTTAGTTACCATTATTTGCAAAAAACATCCATCTTTAAGTAATTTATTATATACAATATAACTGCTTTTTTAGAAACATTATTTAAAGCACAACCTTGCAACTTCCGTACTTAGATGTCATTTAAAATACCAAATGAAACAAGCATATTAGAAACTTTATTTCTGAAGATATGAAGACCTGGATGGTGTGGCCTTTTGTGTGATCGCAGTCTCCTTTCCTAGTATAGAAGTTGTTTGAACTTGTCTTTGCAGCTTGATCCTATTGGTAGGAAGACTTAGATGAACGCACCTAGTCCGGAGTCCGTTGTATGCGTAATAATTTCCAGTCGGAACGTGGACGTGGTACATTCCCAAACGTTTCGCCGGCATCGTCAGTGAGTTTTTCCAGTCTTAGCAACATACTTCAATTCGTCAAAGAGAGAAGTGAAGCTGATCCTTTGACCAAACGTGTGCTAAATAGTTATGGCATCTCTCCTTCTGCCCTGGGCTATTCAGATTCCCTATATCCTCATATCACGCCTTCACTGTTACAATTTTTTACCGTGCTTATTTAGATGTAGTGTGGTTCAACATTGAATCTAATCAAAGCAAGGAGTACCACAACATTTGTGGATTGGCACATAAGAGACTAGGGCATAGCAAGCCATATACTTGGTATTAGGGATAGAAACAGGATAGATGCGGGGGAGACTGGAACTAGTTGGCTGACAGTAGGATTGTTTTACCAGAGACGTGGTACATGTAGCAAAGGCTTGACCATGATACTTAATCAGAGGCTTTAGCTTCGAATTATTCACCCAAACGCAGGGGGTTGTAATAACGCCTCGAGTAGCACAGGTGGAGTGGCAGGTGTCGAGTGAAATACTTGAACCAGGGAGATAGCAGACGGATTCTACGGGGCAAGAGGGAGAGTTTGATAAGACCTAGGGAACGACTGCGTAACAATATGGCAGACTCTGATCAACATTCCCTGCACAAGTGTGAAGGGGGTTTAAGAACGTCAGTGTGGAGTGTGGAGGGTTCTCATGAGTGCTGCTCAAAAGGGCACACCAAACTCGATTTAAATAAGCAGGGGGAAAAAATGTGATAGTGAAGGCGTGATACGAGGATATAGGAAATGTGACTAGCCCAGGGCAGAAGGAGAGATACCACAACTGTTTAGCACACAGTTGGTCAAAGGGTCGGCTTCATCTGTCTCTTTTACGAGTTGTAAAATGGTACTAATAATAGAAAAACTCACTGACGATGCAGACTACGATGCCGGCGAAACGTCTGGGAATGTACCACGTATACGATCCGACTTTGGAAATAAAAATGCATACAATGGACCCCGGACTAGCTGCGTTCCTCTAAGTCTTCCTACAAATATGACCAAGTTGCGAAAACAAGGTTAAACAACTTTTATTTCTAAAATTCAGCTGCACAGAACAAATAATTTTCCATCTTCTAGGAGAAGTTGGCATAGATAATATTAATCAATATTTGAAGGTATGAATACCAAGATGGTCTGGCCTTTTGTATGGTCGCAGCCTCTTTTCGTTGCATAGAAGTTGTTTGCTCTTGTTTTCGCAACATGGTCATATTAGTAGGAAGACTTAGAGGAACTCACCTAGTCCAGAGTCCATTGTATGCATTATAATTTCCAGAGTCGGACCTTGAACGTTGTACATTTCCAGACGTTTTGTCTGTATCGTATTAGACATCATCAGTGAGCATTGTCATTCTTAGCACCAAACTATAGCTCGTCAGAGACAAGTGAAGCCGATCCTTAGACCAATTGTCTGCTACTTAATCATCGATTGGTTGCAAGTGTAGATAAAAAACAATTTTCGAGCAAGAGTTATTGGAATGGGCCAGTATGAACTAGGTAAAAACTCATGACGCCAAATGTAGCTAGAGGGATCAGGTCTTATAAAAAATAACATGAATAAAGCAATATCCATACGAAACATTGGTCGCTCCAGAAAGCTAGGACTTAAATACAAGTGACCTAGTCTTAGCCACTCTAGCCTCAATAATTGAAGGAAAAGAGTAACTAAGTAAAAAATAATGCAAGTTGGTAGTCTCTTTTTTAATTAACCTTGTCATTCAGTTAGGCATTCTTATATTCAGAGTTAATCGCTAGTATACAAAGTTGAATGTGTCCAACTAAAACTTTTATATATCCGCTAATGATAGGTCTGAACCATAAATAATTGACAAGTACAAAGTAGAATACATATATCAGAAAGCTTGATAACAAAAATCTTTATGAAATCGTAAAAAACCCGTGTTAACCACCAACAAAGCTTTGATGAAATTAACCGCAAATTCCAGTTATATAGCTTCGAAAAGAATAACTAGTGAACTAGGAAATAAGTGGACAAAAGATTAGGCATTATGAGAAAAGTGAGCATAAATCGAAATAAAAGAGCCAAGAACTTGAAAATGGGTAAGCAGTTAAGCCAGTGAAGGTAGATAAAAGTAATAACCTGTATCGCTTGACAAGCCTGCTCCACGCCCTCTTCAATAAGACGCAGTTGACCGAGACAGAGGGAGCTTGCCAGTAGGTAGCAATTGGGATGAAAAGGATCGATGCGCTGGCACTCGCGGAGTACCATGTATGCCTTGTACGGCTATTCAGAATGGGATATGACAAGAAGTAAATAAATGGATAATTGGTGAAATAACCAGAAGAGGACAGAGTGGGGTGCTTGGTGAAACTTTGTAGATAGAAAGCATAGAGAGATAGTAGGAGGAAGAAAGTGGTATCAGAATGATAAGACTAAAGATATTGGTAAGCGTTAGGGAATAGAAAAGATGTGGAAGTGGATCAAGGTTGTAGAAATCGATTGGATTCATATGCAGAAATTGCAAGGGTCAGATACTCCATTATTGGATTGAATAAAAAATCAGCTTAATATGAAGCCCATATTTATTTGGAATCACTTGGTAAGTAGCCCGCAGGAAACATAGGTTGAGATGTTAAAACGCTGGCCTGAAATATCATTATTTTGCTGACATTACTTTCAAGTGATGATGATATTCATATTTTGACATCATTAGACGATGGCGGATTTGCGTCGATCTGAAATGGCTTAAGTTTACGGTTAATTTCACATTTTCAGTCCGGGAGAAATTCTCATTCAGCTATTGTGAAAACGGGGTAGGCTTTAGTTCGTTACATGACAAAGATTGTCCGGTCTCATGTGAGTCGATCTTTCGTTTCATTAGGAAAAAACTGGCCGCACCGGAAACCGACGGAGGATAGCCTTGGAAAGGAAAACGTAGAGTTATGTAAAGAAAATCTCGTAGAGATGAAGAACAAGATGATGTCGCAATCTCCTTTAGATGTATAATGCTTCTTTAACCTCGTTTTCGCAACTTGGTCAAGGTAACAGGGAGACATTGGGGAACGTACCTAGTCCTGCGTCCTCTGCCAAGATATTCATTATTTCCAGCATCAGACCAATGGCTCGGTACATTCAAAGAAATTTAGCCATGATCGTCAGTGAGAGGCGCCAGAGTTGCAACTTATAAATGTGACAAGTAAGGGAAATCTAATTGACCAATTGTCAGTTGAACCATTTTCGCATCATTCTCGCCCCTAGTCTTTGTCTTACCTTCTAGTGCTGCATGTCTTTCTCTCAACCCCACTAAATATTGCCCATTTACCTATTCACGCAATTCTGTGTTCTCGCTTCATCTAATGCCGCCTAAAAATGTCGATTTAGTGAAGCACAATCACCTTCAGCACCGGTTTCCGATTGCATTTGCAAGGTTTCTCGACTTATCGTTCTACGACCACAATTAATCTAAGCTGAAATTTCGTCTGTCAAGTGGCAGACATCGTCAGAGCAAGATACTATAATTTGCGAAAAAGACACACCAAATGCTCTAGGTTAGGCAAAGTGTGGCTGGTTGAGATCATACCCACTTTTTATACAGAATTATTAAATATTAATAAATCAATCTATGATTTGGAAGGTTACTTCATGCTTATGAATATGGTATTGTGTATTGTGTTTATGCTCAAGTTATCTGAGATGTAAGAGCCCTAACCAGACTCGAAGATATTCCAGACTCTTCCTCTCTACATTCGCCATACTTACTTAAACCTACCGAACAGCTAAAAGTAGATCGACTCAATTTCCAACAATCGTTATTTCGATTCGGGACATTTGCTACTTTGCATATTTCTACATGTTCTATAATTATATGAGATACGTTCACCCTATTTCGTTTAGGGTGATAAGGGACTGGTAGTTGAATTTTCCCACAATGATATCAGCAGAGCCGATGTTTCCATTAAGTTTCACATAGCCTTGCTTTCCCAAAAGTTATTCTTATTATAGGTGGACTGCAGCTTCGACTTCGCCAAGGTCTTATCAACACCCCAGCTGGAGTCGAACCATGATACTCAAGCGTGTAAGCTCGACACGTTAACCACCCCGACACATTGCCACAAGTGACCTTGGGTCACAGGGCAGATGTACATTTCAAGGAAGGCCAGGCATTTTCCCATGTTACATTCTTTGATGGGAGTGTCGATGAAGCAAATAATGTGATATGAGAAAATGCTTGGCCTTCCTTGGAATTTACATCTGCCCTGTGACCCAAGGGCACTAGTGGAAACGTGGCTGAGTGGTAAATATGTCGAGCTTATACGTTTAAGTATCATGGTTCGACTCCAGCTGGGGGTGTTAATAAGACCTTGGCGAAGTCGAAACTGTAGTCTAATCTGAATGAGAACAACTTTTGGGAAGGCAAGGCTATGTGAAATTCAATGGAAACTTCGGCTCTGTTTATATCATTGTGGGAAAATTCAACTACCAGTCGTTCATCACCTAAAGCGAAATAGCGTGAACACATCTCATATATCTTATTTACTGGTAGTCTCGAAAATCTACTCAGTAACGAAAACAGTTGTATAAGTAGTCATGCGTTCGAAAAGTTCAGATTCTTCGACTCATGGCCCTGCGCAGGTGGTTTTGTGTAAGATTACCTCTTTTGTATAGGATGGCATGTCTCCTCAACAGA